ATGACGTGCACTTCATTGAACGACGCATGCAACCAGAGCATCATGTAGCGACACTCCTGACATGTGTCGGTTAGGCATGCACGTCACAAATGCTTGGCGCCGAAGCCGCGTCCTAGCTACCGAGCACCATTGGACGCGGAGGTGGTTTGAATGACGACTGTGTTGCTACATGGTCGACTACGAAAGGTACAGCCTGACGCTACATGGTGCTCTGGTCGAATGCGCCGTTGAATGACGTTTGCTTTCCCCAATGAACTCCATTTCGCGGCTTCGGGCTGATGGTGAAAACCTCTGCTTTAACAGGCTCATTAACGTTTACGGCGTCAAGACGCTTCTGCAGGATTCCAGCCCCATCTGGTCGTTTTGCGAAAGTTGGGAGTCGCAGCGATCGTCACGTGTCGCATACCACGCGGACGATCGACGGGCTTCTACAAGCGACTCAACGATGTAGCAGAGAGGCGTGTCGCGCTCTTCCTTCCTTTGAAAGGGGTCATTTTGCAATTGTCCAGCATGCGTTCGCACCAGTTCCTTGTCCTCACGTCGGTGATCTTGGGGGTGCTCGAGTCTTTGGTTTCTGGCGCGCCTACGATACCGTTGAGCAAGACGAGCCGCATTGTCATCGTTGGCGGGGGACCGGCGGGTGTCCACTACTCGTCCCTCCTCGCCAAGAAGGGCTTCACAAACATCCGAGTTCTCGAAGCCACCATGAGCGTCGGGGGAAGTCGACGACGGTCACCGATTCCCACAGAAAGCCCCACGAGCTCGGTACCGTCTTTGCTCTGGACACGTACACACCGATCTTCGACCTTGCGAAGGAGTACGACCCGACCAACACCAAGTTTCCGTTTGCGTTCGAGAAACCCAACTACTTGTACACGATGGGCAAAAGTGCGGGGGCCGAGGACAGTGACCCGACGACGGTCCGGGACTTCCCGCACTACCTCCTTCGGTCGATTCAAGAGAACGCCCCTGCGGGGTTCCCCTCTGACGCGTCCCCCGAGCAACTCATAGCGCTGTTTCAAGAGCAGGCGGTGCGGTACATCACGCTCCACCGCCAGATTTTAGGAAACTACGAGTACGGCCTCCCGCCGGAGCCCAAGGATTGGAGCCTTATCGACATGCCCGCCATGGAATTTCTCAAGGCCAACAACCTGACCGCACTCACTGGGATGTTTCGCTTTTCGCAGCAGCAACAAGGCTACGGCGTGTTGGAACACATCCCGACCTTGTACCTTATGTGGTGGTCCCATCCGCAGGCGGTGTCCAAGATCCTGACAGCCCAAGTCACCAAATCCACTTGCGCGTACCAGTTTACTAGAGGGTTCCAGAGCATCTGGAAAGCTATCTCGAAAGCCCATCGCAACAACATACAAACAACGAATGCGGCACATCCCACGGTGGTGCAAACAACGTATGACGCCACGGTCACCAGCATCACCCGCGGCCTTGACGGCGTGTCCGAGCGAAAATTATCTTACAAAACGAAAGCCGGGAATAGCTACGACGTCGAGTTTGACCACCTCGTGATGGCCGTCGATTTGAGTCTGTATGCCTCGTTGATCACGGATTTGACGGCGGAAGAACGAGAGATTTTGATCGGGACGTACACGGCGTCGACCTTTGTCACGACCTTGTTTGATTCACGCCCGTCGCCGGTGGAAACCGCCGGCATGATCTGGCACTACCGCATGACCGAAGGCGGCCGCCTCAGCGCGCTCCGTAACACCAAGCTTGCTTTTCAGTATCAAAGCTCTAGCAACTGGGGCAACTTGATCAACGGACACCAGACCCGTATCGCGTATCAGTACTACGACCAACCCCTCGCCCAAGTCGCTCAAAATACGGTAATGCCACTGTTGAGAACGGACCTCAAACTGGCCGGCATGCTTGGCATCACTATGGGGACAACGCGCCGTTTCAACTACTTTCCACGGTTTACCCAGGAAGGGCTCAAGAAGGGCTTGCCGTGGAAGATCCTCGACATGCAGTTCGACCACATGACCACGTGGATTGGCAGCAGCGTGTGCTTCGAGAGTGCTCTCGACGTCGTCACGTACAACAACAACTTGATCAAGCGGGTGCACATCACTGAGTAAACGATCATGCAGGAGAGATAATATACTATCCACAGTTGCAGAGATTATCATGGCGCTCGGCGATTCAGCTGACCAGAGCCCCCGGCTGTTTCTCGGAAGAAGCTGTCATGGTCGAGTCATTGCAGGATTGTAGGGGTTGCAAAACGAGGTTGGCTAACTTGATGATGGCGGCTTCCATGGACGGACACCGGCCGACAGAGGCGATGTGGAGACCGCTTCCATCCGAACCCGTCGCGGTGACGAATGGTTCTCACCCGTGCCTCTGGTATCATCCCACGTCAGACTTGCATTTGGCCCAGGCGAGTTGCTCCTGCCTGGCATCACAACTCCGGTGTCATTGGCCTTGGGGTGTTCGATGAGATGCAATTTCGTGGTCAAAGGTGGATCGTTCCCATGGGACTCGACGCGGCGATCTGTCCATGCATTCTGAGTGATGCGGTTGAATTGATGGTGGGTCTGCCCAAGCGGAATTGTGACGACGTCGCCGTGGAATTCCCGTGGAAATTCCAATGCGACATTGGCACAATTCGGAGATGTGTGTACAGCTGTCGTAAAGGGACGACGGAAAACCTTCCCTGTACTACTGGTCCCCCACTTTTGGAAAATCAATATCGTTGAGCTGCACAATCGGCCAGATAGAAAAATTTCAATTTTGGCCAATCGCGTATGCTACAAGCATCAACTTCGTTGTTGCTTCAAAACACATTGGCTTCAATATTAGACAGATTTCGCAAACGCTGGTTCTGTTCTATTGTATCCTATCCTGTCAAATTCGATTTGTTTGGAACCAACCTGTAGCAACTTGTTGCAGCTGATGCCAAAATCGCACGATTTTACAACCAGTACTTTGTCCGCTGCATCCGCGTAACATTCACTTTGAGCCACCCTTAACAGCCATCATGTCCGACGAGGTGCAACTAGACGCCGACTCTTCAGCACGGAAATGGTGGAGTGATCCCGATGTTCTAAGCCTCCTCACACAGGTCAACAATGACCTTCCCTGTAAACATGCTAAGAACACAGCCAAGGCATGGGACAGCGTCGCAGCCAAGCTGCTGCAGGGCCATCGTTTGCAAGAAGTGGCATCGGACAAGCATGAGAGGTCAAAACGAACGTCCGGGTCCAAAGGTCTCTCCACGACGCAAGCCACTAGACGAAACAGTCTCATTCGCTTACGGAAGTTCGCCCCGCGTCGCTTCTTAAGAAGCACTTCGATCTCATTGCACGACAACATTTTGGAAGGTGGTGGCACTCAGGATGTCACATGTTGATTGGGTGAATAGAACCTATATGAATCGGATGATTTGCGAAATTCGATGGTTGTGAAGTTTCATTCTATCCGTGTTCTGAATTTTAGATCACAGATAGAATCGAACCAGCGTTTGCGAAATCTGTCTATTTTCAATGCGATTCAAATTTGGAGTACCCAGTCGAATCGAATCGACTTGGCATATCGAATTGAGAATCACCTTAACCAATCAAAACGCATTATTTCATTTTCCTTCAACTGCTGCGCAGTCTATTACGGCGATGGAGCTCACACAAAGCACCCCACCGAGTCACCGGTACAACACACGGTCTTCCCAGTCACCACCAGCTGTGACAGAGCAACTTTCCATGAATCTGTACCGAATGCGAGCCGACTTTGTCGTCAAGGAGACCGTCTATGGTCGAGACAATCTATCGCTTCTGCTCGTCGCTGAAATGAGCAATGGCAACTGTCTTCTTGCGTTCTTAGCGGTATGTGCTCTCGTAACGCTCGATCCAGTTAGAGATGGTACTCAGGGACTTGTCACACAGCCTTGCAATGGTCGTTCGGTTCATACCTAGAAAGTAGTAAACGAACAGAGCATGCATGATGGTTCTTTTGGACGCATGCTGGTACTGAACGTGCTGTAGGATCATGCTTGGTGGTATGCGGAAAGTGCGCGAAAAATCAATAGTATTCGTTTTTGTATGGTATAATTATTTTGTATGGGGGGGGCAAGTCGATTCAGCAAATCGACCCAGAAGTCCAATTTTCACTGAAAAAAGACAATACAATTTCCAGTTGCATTCTCACTACAATTCGTCGAAGGCGGCCTTGAGTTGGGCGTCCATGAGGGTGACGTCACCGCGGGCATTGTCGTGCTTTAACACCACCTTCTTGTCCGGTTTGGCCATTTTCCCCCAATCGAGGGTAGGACTTTGTCGAGAAGGAAGGCGCGATAAACGTCCTTTGTAACCGTCATTGACTTGGTTTCGTAGGTACCAGCCGGGAGATTGACCCTGGCGCGTTGAGCGGGCACCGGCTCGATGAACGGCCACGTGCCTATTTTGCCGTCCTACCACATGCTGGGTTTCGCCGATGTATCATATGCGCGCAACAGCGCTGAGGAACATAACCCTTGTATTGCACCTTTTGCTTTTACATGTTCGTTGCAGTTCGCGCTCCACGGGAACGAGGTAATACTTACGAGTGGTCTTTGTAAGACAAAAACAATTCTCGTCCAGTGCACGAAGTGTAGCATGTCCGACAGAAGCATATGCAGCCTTGAACATTGTCATGGCAAACTTGAGACGACAGAATTTGTTAGCGTCCATAAACACTGGACATATCGGATTGGAGTGGGACGGAACGAATCGAATTTCAAGTATCGGTGCAATGACCCACGATTTATTCCCTTTAAATGCTAAAAGATGAAGTCACATGTTCTGTCATACCAAAGTTTTCAGATATTGAAGGAAGCGTTGTTCGTTTTTGATGTGAATCCAGCCTTCTGCCGGCCCGATCGTCAATCGGGTCACACGTGTTGCAATTTTAGAACTGAGCATTAAGTTAATAGCTAGACTAGACTCCTAGCCAACTGCAAACCCTTACAGAACTCACGATAGCCAGACAGCCAACAGACAGCTGGCCGACCTCACCTTTGTATACAGCAAGAGGGCCCAGGTCGTGGCACCTGTTTGAAACACGCACTGCTAGCTTGGCATCACCAAGCTTGCAGGATGCGCTCTGCACGCAGAGCACTCCCCTTTTCTAAAGGGAGCTCCGCAGGTGAGTTTCCAATGCTTGGGCCAACTCAGCGACAAGTCTGTCGCGTCTTCCTTGGGTCTTCAGCCAGCGGCGAATAATTACAGGAATGTCTTCATACAGCCGGAACGCAGGCTCCCACGACGCTTCAGCTTCATCGAGGCCAAGCCACTTGACTCGCACTTCAAACATACCATCCTCGGCCCTGCGAGCACCGAGGAGTTCTTCAACATAAAATCCTACACCGCCAAAGGCGACATGGGCAACCAGATCTTGGGTGACATCCAAGCCAGCTTCACTGTAGAAATTGAGACGACAGGCCTGGTGTGTCGACTCCGCAAACGAAGGCACCAGCTGCTGCACAGACATGACGTAGTCAGACAACACCTTGGTCACATGGAATGGCCCACGCCAGTTTAGAGCCAACTTGTTAGGGAACGGCACAACCTTACCAACCAGGACGAAATCGCCTTCGGTGAATTTCGCAGGTTCGACATTTGATTTACGGCCACGGGCCGTTCGAGCATACTGACGTTACTTCTCGCTAGTCTTCGACAATTCGCGATGCATTTCATCGAGCGACGCGCGCAATTAATCCATGTATTTCTTCCACTCTTCCTTGACCCAATCGATAGTCTTTACTTCCTTCGTTCTTGGGTGGCCAAATCCAGCCAGCGGCGGCGTCGCTGGCAAACCAGCAATTGCGGTTACAGGGGCAACACCACCGAGTCGATCTGCTGGCTGATGATTCAGCGCAGCTTGTACCAGCGGCAACAAACGCGGCCACTCGGTCACACGCAACTTCGTCTCACTCGACAACGTGCGCATCGCGCGCAAAATCATGCGATTGACAACTTCAACAGACCCGTTCGCCCACGGCGAATGCGGGGTCGTAATGTTGTGGTGGGCACCAACAACCTTCTTCACCTTCGACACAACTTCTTGAAGTGGGATCCTCCGTCGGAGACCCATGTGGCGACGCTTCCATACAACGAAAACCAGTCCATAAGCGAGTCAGCAGTGCGTTCCGCGTCGGCCGTAACTGATGGAACCAGGCGGCAAAATCCACTCATGTCATCCTTCAGGACGAGGATATATCTCAAACCCGCGTCGCTTTCTGGCAACTGCATCCAGTCGAAGTGTAACAACTCGTTCGGGCGCTCAGCATGCAGGGCGTCCCCCCATGGGCGTGGTACTACTGCACCATCCACACATAAGCAATGCAAACAGCGCCGAACGAACGTATCGATGTCAGCGGCCAAGCTTGGTCATGCAAAACTCTCCGCGAGCGCGGCCTTGGTAGGAGCAATACCGTGGTGTCCAGCGGTGCCTTGATGCGCAATAATGCACAAGCGTAGCTGCATATCGTCAGCATCGCGTGGGATCCAAATCTTGCCGTCGGCAGTCAAAAAATATCCGAAGTCTTCGTTCCACACCACACCAGCATCACTGGCTGTTGTGTTAGCCAGCGCAGCGCGCTGGGCCTTGACAATAGAGTCAGCAGTCGGCCATGAAAAATCAGCAGCTTGGAGCGGTGACACGATAACCGCCAGGCGATTGACGCGACGGGCAAATGGCGTGGCAGGGGCGGCGCCCCAGCGGGATAGCAAATCACTCCAGACTTTTCGTCGCCAACCACGTGCTCCAGCGTATGTGGGAACGATGACAACACCATCGCCCACAGCTGGAGCTTGTGGGCTTGATAACGAGCCATACGAGAGTCATAACCCATCGGGTTAAAGATGTAAATGAGGTTGCGGTGGTCAGTGTAAAGCCTGAACCCTTGCTGACGCAGCAGCAGGTATTCGAGGCGCTTGCACGACTCGACCACCGCGAACGCTTCTTTCTCAATCGTCGGCCAGCGGTTGCTGGACCCGACAAAACTTCCACTGAGAAACGCCAAAGGCTCGTGACGCTGATCTGCCACCACCGGCAGCCCCAGGTCTTCAGCGGGAATTTGGGTGCACGCTGCACCTCAATGCGTGTCGCTCGCGTCCGTAAAAAGACAAATAACCTTGTCTGGCGATGGATGGGCCAGCGGCACCATTGCACGCAACATATTCTTCACAGCAGCGAAACACACGTCGTGGTCGTCAGACCAGCCGATGTTTACCAAACGAATCTTGGCCAATGTCGACTTCTTGCTGGAACCACCAGCGACCTTGACTGCGACATCGAGCATGGTGCGCAACGGGTGCACCAACTGCGCATAATTAGGGATTGACGAACGCACCCAGTTCGTCGCACAGACGAATTGCTGGAGATCTGCGGCCGTCGCTGGCGATTCCAGCACCACGAGCCCTTGGATGCGGCTTGGGTCGTGCGCGATACCTCCGGCAGATATGACTTGCCACACCACGTGGCTTCCACCAAATAGAAATCGCATTTTTTCGGGTGGAGTTTCAAGCGAAACTTGGCGCATATGGCGAGCACGCGCTCGAGCAACGCCAGCAACTTGTCGGCGGAATCTCATAGCCAAGCAGATCGTCAAGCCAGCCCAACATGCCGTTGAAAATAAGCTCACCGAAGAGCAAATTGACGACGCTCTGGCAATACGCCACCGCGTCTGTTTGTCCCATCAGGACACGCGTGGGCGTGAGACGCCAAAGGGTGTCATAAACGAGTACAGCATTTGGCTGTCGGGGTGCAATGGCAACTGCCAGTACCCCTTCAGCCAGTCCAATGTGAAATACACAATGGAGCCAACAAGCATCGCCATGGCCGCGTCCAAATTCGGCATCGGGGACGGCATTGGGATCGTGCTGGCGTTGATCGGGCGACTATCGATAGTCATACGATACTCGCCCGGTTCCTTCTTCGGCACGATTCGTGGCGCTGCGGTCCATGTCGTACGATTGTTGCGGTAGATGAGACCGGCCGCCTCGAGCTCCACCACATGCTCCTTCAGGTAGTCCATGTGGGCAGGCGGGTATCGTTGCAACGCACAATTCACAGGCACTGCGCCTTCTTTCAGCCGCACTTTTAGCGGCTCGACATCCACCGGCGGGTCTTGTCCAAACTCGAGCCGGAATACATCGACGTGCCTCATAACGATGCCGTGAAGGGTGGAACATTGGTGCTCCGAGAGTCCACACTCTCTCGCTTCAGCGACCTTCATATTGAGGATTCGCTTAACCTCGGCGACTACTGACCTTAGCTTCACTTCGGGCGTCGTGCACAGGTCATCGTCGACCGTGCCTTCGCCGGCTTCCACCGACACATCTCGCAGCCGACTGATGCGGCCCAGGGGAGTTGTAGGCACTTCGACATCATCGTGATCCCACGCTGTCTTCTTCCGAAGGGCTTGGACCAGCATTCCGTCCTGGCTAAAGCCAAGGACCTCCATGACTGGTTTGCCGATGAGCAAGTCACAATCCTGCTTGAGACCACGCAAGACTAGCGGGCCAAACGACGTTTCTAGCTGCACCGTCTTGAAGCGCGCTTGCTTCGTCACGCGCAACGGCTCCGACGACGGACCATACGGCTTCATGGTCATGGGCTTTGCTCCCACAATGTCGACCGCGGCCCCTAGGTTCTTGAGCGCAGTGACCACGCCTCTTGTGACGAGCGAGTCATCTGCTCCCGAATCTAGGAGCAGCCTCGGCAACGACAGCACGCCGTTCAACATTGCGCCATATGCAATGGAGCGCTTGGGGTCTTCCGGCACCAGCGCCTTGACATTCTTCTGGCGGTTCTTGCCATAAAAGGCCGCAATCAACTTTTTCGCTTCTTCTTCCGTGATGCCGGGGTTCTCGCGAACCTTCAACTTTTCGCTTCTTCTTCCCTGATGCCGGGGTGCTCGCGAACCTTGTGCTCGGTCGAGCCACACTTCAGGCACTTGACGTCTTGCTTGTAGCGCAATGTACCTTGGTCCTTGGCGGTGCTCTTGGCAGCATCAGAGCCGCTGCTCTGGCTCTTTGACTGGGTCTTCTGCGGCGTCGCCGCGGCTGTCTTCGCCGCCTTCAGCTCTCGCGTTTCACGAAAGCCGTCGTGGTACTCCTGGTACCCGGCAGCATATTGTTTAAGCCACGATGTAAACCGACGAACATTGTGCTTCAACAGCTTGTTTTGAGAATGCTTCATCTTCTTCTGCACCTGGGCTTTCAACCCAGGCGGTTGTAACTGGCTAATGATAGACTCGACGATCAGCTTCGGTTCGACATCGAAAATCCAGTTCTGGGCAATCTCGCCCGCGTAACGAGATGCTGCAGCACCATGCGGCCAACGCGCGAGTCGCCCTCAGAGATGGTCACGTCGCGCACCATCTTCGACTTGATCTTCTTCACGAGGTCATCCACCTCGAGTGGGGGTGGCTGTTGGTAAGCCATCATGAACCGTGATTGCCACTCGACTTCCGTCACAGTATTGTGGTCCCTGCCGTCCATATCCCAGTACGCAATCATGCGCTTCTCGGCAGGTTCAATACATGTTGACACCGGCATTAGAAACGGTCGCTGGCCAGCGGCCTGTAGCGCTTCGATTTGACCACGATACTTCTCGAAGTCTCGCATAAACTGATGCTTCTCCGCGTGGGTATCACCGCAGAACGACGGTGGCGTCGGCAACGCGGGCGCATTAAAAACGTAAGCAGCTTCGTAATCCGCCTCCATGTCGAAGTCTTCGTCATCGGGCGTGCTCGTGGCGCGAACGCTCGAGCTGGTGCTGGTAACTGCGCCGCTCCAGGGGCCGGGCGAGTTGGTTGAGCATACGGGTTCCAAATGTGCGCATCAATCGGCTGCGCTCGCCGCGGTGGCGGCGAGTGAACACTCGCGGCAGTCTTGCCCCAGCCTTTGACCTACCTCGGGCGTCCTGACGATGAACGACAACCAAAAATAGGAAAATGCAAAGTTATTGTCAGCTATCGAAA